CTTTAGGGCAAAGCAAATTTGCTAGAGAAAGCTGATGCTCACAACGGTTTGCCGTTGCTTGAGGTGAAACAAAACCAAAGCCGTATCTTTTTCGGAGCCACTACGCGCGACGAAGCACGACGGTAGGCACTGGTAGTGGTTGCGAGGCATATCGCGAGTCGACCATCTAAGAGTTGAATTCTTCCCCACCTATCCTCTAGATTTCGGCCACCTACCACTACTGTCACCGGAGTTTCTCGAGACCAGTCACCTACTGCATCGGCGGCTGCAGCCTCTCGCAGCAGTTCGGCGATGACACTCTCTCTCTTTCCCAAATATCATATCGACAGTTCAGTGTTGTGGGGAGTTCTTCGGTGAAGTTATGCGTTGGTGACGTGGTGGTGGTTATGGTGGATGGTTGTTGCCCTGATTCCATGATACACTCAAAATTGTAGTTGTCGTAATTTAGTAAGAAGAGGTGGTTGATAGCCGGCCATGTGCAGTGGTATGCCTAAATGTTGGTCAGCGTTTGTATAATAAGTTATAAATCTAGTTTTATTTGTATAATGTTTTGGTAATTCTATATCAATCATTTGGAATCTGTGCTGTAGTTTCTGTTTATTATTAGTGTAGCTTTAATTTCTGATAATATTTCAAATATGGAATGCGTTGTCCTTTTCAACATTGAGGAATATAATAGTAATTTTCATTTAATTTGAAGTATTAATTTTGGATTGATTGGATGTAAATATATGAAAGTCTAGAAAATAAATTTTAATTAAGCGTGTCCGGTACTGGGTTGGGAGCAGTATATGGATTAGAATTGTGTGCACTGTGACTGGTTGTGACCAGTTGTGACCATTTATGTTAATTGTGACCGAATGTGACTTGAATATGATGAAGTCACAATCGGTCACAATTAACACAAAATAGGTCACAAACGGTCACACTGAATACAAATTTGGTCACAGATGGTCAAATTGAAGGTTGTAACTGAAGTTGGTGGTGTCGGCGAACNGATTGTTTGTGACCGTTTGTGACCATTTGTGACTGATTAATTATGACTCGTTGAGACCAATTGTGACCAAATATGTGTGTAATGTGACTGATTGTTTAATTATTGTGTCTGAAAATTTTGAAATCGTCGGAGCGGTCGCTGGAGTGATCGCCGGATAAGTCGCCGGAGCAAAGGCCGGATAAGTCGCCGGAGTAATGGCCGGACCTGTGCCAAAGCATTTGCCGAACCGATGCCGGAGATAGAGGGAGGTGGTGTAGTGAAGAGATGGGGTGGGTGAGGTGTCATGGGGTGTAACTAATTAATATATATTATATTATAATTTAATATTTAATTAATCTATTTACCACCTGATTTTTGAAATAATTAAACAAATTTGTTAGTTTTGAAAAGTAATTATTATATGTAGGTTTTGTGTATTGTTCCCTTACAAATCGGATATGGATTTAGCAATTAAATTTTCGTTGGATTATCTGATCGAATCGGATAAATTTTCTTATTGGATCGAATCGAATATAGACAGATTCGATCCATTTACAGCCTTACTACCAAGTTGACTTTATATTAGAAGAAATCTTCTTTGATTAATTTTGATTGTAAGAATCTTCTACAATGTCGATATTCGGGTTTAATCATTAAGCAGAGAGAGAATATTTTGAACAAGTTGAGAGCATGTTTGGCTACATAGGATAAGTAATAGAAGTTACTTTTAATTAACTTTTTAGATTACTTACAAAAAAATTGTTTATTTTAATAATAAATCTTATCTTCTAGTTAAAATAAGAAATTTACTTGTTTGTAACTCTAATTATCGTGTTTTGGTTTAATTATTAAATCAAATTAGTATATTTGAACAAGGTTGAGTTTATTGTTGCAGTGAACCGAAAATTCAAGTTTGAAAATGATACCGAATAATAAAATGTATTTGCCAAACTAAGAAATCTTAAAATATAAGTTACTATAGAAGGAAAAAAATTATTTATCGACATGTTAAATACACATTCAAATTATTGTCGATAACCTAACCATGACAAAAAATCTGCCTCAAAGAAATTCTACTCAAGATAGAAGTCACGCATGATATGAATAATCATAAATGGATTTGGGGGACAATTGTTATGCTTCGTCACCAAAGCTCCCACATGGCTTACCTGGCGTCCCACGAGGATTGCAGTCAACCCACCTAAGCCCATTTTGTCGAAGCCGTTTGGCTTCCCACATGGAGCGCATAGGATCTACAAAAAACCACTAAATCCGAAGCACCAAAGTCGGCATTCAATGAAGCTATTTTATAGAATAGACTTTTCGAAGCCCCTTTTGCCGAAGTAGGATCCGAAGCTCAATCAGAAAGGGTGACGACCCACATTTAAAGATCTTGAATTTATGAAATCTTTTTGGAATGAATGATTGGATTTTTGTAATGAGTAAAAAGGTCAATCTTGTTAGTATAGGTTATAGGGTGGATATCCCCTTCTTAGGGACATTTAATGCGTTACAAGCTATTGGAGTTAAAATTGATGCCTAGAATAAGATGTCTTGGTTAAGGAGATTGGGTCATATGTCCCCTTATCCAGTGGACATCATTTCACATGTAACATTATAAATATTCCTCACTTTGTATCATTTGGAGGGTAATGCCAATATATCAACTACAAGCTATACATTCTCTCTCTCTCTCTCTCTGTTTTTTTTTTTTTTTTTTGGTCTTGGGTTTTTAATGTTTGATGTTTAATTTTGATCTTGATTTTGGTTATTTGTCGATCGTTCACTATCGTGTAATTTCTCTAGTATATTTTGCCGAGGCTCAAACATATTTGTCTTGTGTTATAAGCTTCTTTCACGTTCAAATCCGAGATATTATCGATTGACAATCAGTCTACACGTGTCGAAATTAGTTTGAGAGAATGCAAGTTGACTTGGTGTCTATTGTCACGTCAAAGATGCTAAAAGTGAGGTAAACACAAATCAAATTCACACACACACGCACACATATGTAATTAAAGCTTTTAAGATATTTTTCACTAATTATTTAGGTCTATAAAATAAACTAAAAATTTGGACCAAAGTTTTTTTAAAAATTATTTTTAAAAAATCTATAAAAAATTCATTAAATAGATATAAGTTAGTGCACCTAAATAATACTAAAACACTTTGTGTTGAAGTGGTAAGAACCTATTATTTTCCTTAGAGATCCAATGTTCAATTCCCTTGGAACCAATAAGCTATATTTTTTAGTGAGATCGACACATTTTCTGCGCGATGCACCTCAATATTGACAAGAAAGAATATGTGTTAAATGTGAACTACACATGGTGAAAAAAAAAAGGGAATTTAGAAAAAAGATGCTAATTTGGGTTGGGGGATTGAAAATTCTCTACATTATGAAGTAAGATGAGATTGCTAAAATTCTATTAAAAAAAAAGGAAAAGAAAATAAAAGAAAATGGAACAAGATGAGATTGCAGATTTCTTTAATCAAGAATTGAGATAATTTAGGTTTTCTGATAGCTTTCATGGAAAAGTTTGTCTTTCTTGGAATCTCTCTTCACATCTCCACTCCACTACTTTTACAGTTCTACTTATCATTTCACTCTTCCTTGTCATTTCTTTGTAAAGTAGATAAGATTTTATAATCTTTATTGTTTGTCCAAAAACTCTCCCAAAATTGAATTTTCCTACAAATTTTGAAAGATAAAAGACAAACAAAATTTACATAGTTCAACACTTAAGACACATTCACTAATATCAAAGGTACTAAAAAATATTGTTCCTAATACTACAAAGATCTTAGAGCGATACAAACAAATGATACATATCTTATGTCACTGATCGGGATCAAAGCAACATACAAAGTACAAAGTACTCAATCCAAAAAAACTTCGCCAGTACAAATGGGGTCCACCACGTAGAAATGTTAAATTTTAAAGTCGCACTAAAAGATGATCCCTAGCGACGTCACTAATCAGGAGGAAATGAAAGCATAGAGTCTCCGTTATATCAGAAAACAAAGATGATGACTAACTCTATTTTCAACACATGACATAGAAAACAACATTTGAGCATGTTTGGCCAGTCTTCAAAGTTAATTTTTTCAAAGTAAACCAAATATGCTATTCAACATCAGTAAGAACTTTACTATTGCCAACCTGTGATCACAACCTCCCCTTTTACCCAAATAAATTTCCAAAAGGTACCAGAAGAAGTCATTGTTTACATTAGCCTAAAAACTATTTGTACAGTAAGTTGGAGGGTTCTTTTTCAAGGTGACTTTTGGATTCCAGCTAATCTTCTGCATATAATTCTTCTTAATTCTNATAGTGAGAAGCTAGAATTAACATTCCATTAATTTTAAGGATTATGCCTTAACCCGTGCTATTGAGAGCAATAATAATAATAAAATTTAGCAAGGCATACTAGAAGTAAAATGGTCTAATATGATTCTTACATCATTGGTTGTGAGCATTGTTACTTCTAGTATGCCTTGCTAAATTTTATTATTATTATTGCTCTCAATAGCACGGGTTAAGGCATAATCCTTAAAATTAATGGAATGTTAATTCTAGCTTCTCACTATAATTCATGCTTTCTCAATCGACCTTACTGTTCACAAAACAAAGTGGAAATGCCATAACTGATAGTTGGAGCAGAAATCATAGACAGAAAATTGAATGGAAAAACATAAGATTAATTCTGCATATGTTTGAGGAAATATGGGAAAACAAGGTTGAAATAATAGGTTACGTGACAAATTTATGTCTCATCAAGTACACTTTTTACCTTACTTTAAAAAGAAAAGAAAAAAGAAAAAAAAAACATGTTAAATTGACCTTCAGAGTCTTTAACATCTGGTGCAATATATTAGTTCTTGATTTTACAGTGGGAAGAGTAAAAATTCTCCACAGAATCATTTGCCAAAGAGTATCAAATACGTGATGATAGTTGAATCAGTCACCGAGTCTTTTCGAACTACTTCTCAGTATATACAGAAGCCTCGCTCACTCGGGGCCTCAAATGAATATAGTTAACGAAGCTGTGGGGAGAATTGCTGCATTAAAGCCAAGAATAAGACCTAGCATTCTTAATCTATCCTTGTGTGTAAAATATACGTCTGATCTGCTATCCGTGCTATAGATTGCTAACCGTGAAAACTTTGTGTCTCATTTTGCCCAAATCCCATCTGAACAAGGCTATGGAGATCATCCTCCCAGAATGTCGAAGCCTAAAAAATGAACTGATCAGCATTCTTAAGTAATTGAATAAGAAATGTATCGAATATTTTCTCTTAATCCGATTTATTTCTTTACCTGAGAAACAGGTTCACTAGCATTGTCCAGAGTAGGCATTTGAATGCTTTGATTTCGACCATTTTGAAAGGGCATTTCTGTTCCATTAGGAATGCCATTATGCAAGTTTTGTCCTGGTTGAGATTGGGAAGGATAGGCATCTGATGTATACAAGTTATGAAGAAAAGATCCACGAGAACCGAATATCTGAAATCCACGAAGATTGTAAGATCGTTAACTACAGAAAAATTCAAGACGTGTTCTTGAACTGTAAAAAAAATTTCCAAAATGTTTCTTACATCCTTGGACATCAGAGCTTCTACATTGAACTCCATGTTTGGATTAATAATAGCCAATTTCATCGAAAGGAACTACATGTTTAAATAAATAAAAACATCAGCAAACTTTCTACATAGCAACTAAATGAGAAACAAACTCAAGATGAATCTTTATACCTCAACTTGTCGTTGTAAAGACTGGACATAATTTATAATCTCATCAAGCATTACAGCTTTTCCAGTAACCTAAGAATAATGAAAAAAGGATGGTATATGTTTAGAATTCTACACATTTCTCTTGTAAAAATCATGTAAATTTCGTTTTCCGCTTCTCGTTGGCATTTCATCGAATACCTTATTGCAACCTGGGACAAGTTCTTGTAGGACTTTCATCCTTTCACTAATCTTCTCTCGTCGAACCTGCTCAAAGGAAGATTGTCAAAAGGGATATGATAATAGATAGTCGTAATCTTTAGCAGCAAAAATTCTAGAAAATCTTACTCTTTCAGCAAGACTATGGGCATCTGTAGCCTGTCCCCTTCTAGCCCTAACATGAATATAGTCCTTTGGAGGCTCTGGAGGCTTTGCATTTTCCTTAGGTTGTTTCTGATTTCCATCTCCAGTAACTTTATCAGATTCGCTTGCATCTGCTTTTATTGTATTACCCTTTTCAATTGAACTTTCGTCATATGACTTGCTTCTTTTTGCACTTGATTCACTGTTTTCTGAAGCAACCTGCATTCAAGTAGTCAAATGTTAATCTACTCTGATTTTCGAAATCAGGGATTCAAAACCCACAAATTCTAAAAGGAATTAGCTTACGTTGACATCTTTGGCAGGGATTTCTTTAGCCTTTCCCCTGGGAACTGATTTCCTCTTTCTTGAATTTGAATTATTTTGGCCTTTGAAGCCATTTTCCCCAACTGGGATCTGCTCAGAAACTGAAGAGTTCTCCCTGGAATCCCCAAATTCTGTTTTTTCCGGAGTCGAAGATCTCGAAAACCTGCCTAATCTTCTATACGAGGCTGAAATTCCTTCCTGAAGTGAGGCATTCCTGTTTTCTTGAACTCCCATTGGGGGAGATCCAGAAAATTTGAAGGACTGATTACTCGAAACTCTCGAGAGATTACCAGAATCCAGTTGAGGCACCAATCTATGAGGCAATTCAGAATCATTATTCAACCCAAGTTTAGCATAACAAGAAAATCTTGCAGCCCTTTCCGCGAATCCTGGATCGGTCGAAAATGGTGCAAAGCTTGGAAAATTATTTCCAGAGTTTTGCAAATTCCTCCGGATTTGATTATCCATCATTGACAGATTAACCTTTGGAGGAGAATTCAACGGGGTGCTATAGCGTGAAGTATTAGTACTTGGAGAAATTTCCCCTGAATTGCATATGCTTCCTAGTCTACCAATCAGTTCTCTTATCACAATATTCTCTCCATCATTGTTGCCAGAGGCAGTAGCATAAGCAACTGGAGAAGAAACCATTGAGCTTAATGCAGACTCAAATGGATCATTTTGTTCCACTGAATTTTCCCAGCTGGGATTACAGAAAAAATTCTGAAACTGTTCCGACCCACAATTCAGAAACAAATTTTCTTTTTCCATTTCACACAAGAATCAGTAAAGGAGGATAAGATGATTTTCCAAAGTGGAGTAGTGAACTACTTTTGGAACAAATAAGAAAACAAAAGGTGAAACAAAAACTGAACTTGGAAGGGGAAAAGGTGACAGAAGAGGGTTATGAAGCAGAGAGGATAGGAAAATGAAGGAAAATGAAAATAAAGAAAAGAAAAGTGTGTACGTATAGGCTGTATGTATATGTGTGACAGTAATAATACACACAAATCCAAGTCCGTAATAGGCGGGTGGAGGGGGTGCAATTCCGGGCCTTCAACGTCAAACTAGCTCATGTTTCATTTTCTTATGGAACAATGGAAATGAAGCTTCCTTGTCGGGGTGGAGGTGGTGGTGGGTGGTGGTGGTGCGTAGGTTTGCTTCCACTGGCACACAACTCTGTTACACTTGTCCTATGGTGGATTCATCAATGATTAGTGCACAGTTAAAAATGGTGGCCAATGAGCTATTGTTTTTCCAACGTTTCAATAGTGTATTATTTGTGGGTAGGAAATTGATCTCCTGTTACTAATAGGTAATATGAAAAATTTTCACTCTTGATGCAACAAGAAAACCTTAATTATGATTCTTTGAATTTGAGAGAATCATAACTAAGATTCTCTTACCACGTTAGAGGCGAAAAGTTTTTATAATACCCAGCGAGAGCTAAAGATCGCGCTTGTTTGTGTATATACACACAAGTAAATTTCTCGAGGATCTCAACTTTTTACAAGCGTGACAATCATGTCCTCAACTTTTTAATATTATGTGCGGTATCTTCAATGATGAAAAATGTCTAGTTAGTCAGTAAATGACCACCTGAGTCTACAACGTGCACCCTGTCTTTTACTTTCTAAAATTTTCTGAAAAGGAGCATTATTGTAATTTCAATAGACACCATTTGATTTTTATAATATAGAAAAATTGGACATTTATGTAATTACTCGAGGATCTTAACTTTTTTTAAGTGTGACAATCAAGTCCCGAACTTTTTAATATTATGCACGGTATCTCTACTTGATGAGAAATGTCTATTTAATCTTTAAATGACAACCCAAGTCATAAAGTGCCCACACTGTTTTTCTTTTTAAAATTTTCTAAAAAGGAGCTACATTTAATGTAATTTCAACAGTCAGCATTTGATTTTTAAGATATAGAAAGAAATTGAACAATTTTACCCTTTCAGTAAGACATCGCATGTAGATCGCAGGGACCTTTGACATTTAGCCCCATTTGATATAACTAAAAATCATGTTTTATTAGCTTTTTATAAAAGTTGATTAAATGTGTGGTTGAGAAATTGAAAAAAATGATGAATTTCATAAAATATGTGGTTAAAATTAATTGTTGACTTTTATTTAAGTTTTTATCAACTTTTTATGCTAGACAAAGTGTCAAGGACCGCAGTTTCAACTAGTCCCTTGACCCAATCATTGTAAATATTTTATTTTAATTGTAAAATAGATGTGATATTGGAAAAGTTTAGTATGATTCTTCAGAATTTTAACGTCTACTCCTATTAATTAGATTTTTGTTCAGAATGCTATTATAGGGGGTATTAGTCTTTCGAACAATCTTTCAAACTTTATAGTGTTCGCCCCCTACACTAGTCATTGTAATTTCCTACTTTCATTAATTGTAATTTCTAGTTTTCAAGCAATCAATGATCGATTTACATTCAATGCATTTCAATTTCATGTTGCAAGCTTTCTATAAATTATAATCAAAATTTCTTTCGTCCCGAAATGACTGAGAGAATGCGGAATGTAGTCTAACGGAGCAGATTACTGCCGCATGGTATCCCTTTCCGTGTCAAGAAGAAAGACACCCCGTGAAAGTTGGTATTAGAGCTGCGGATCAAGACCATCGATAAAGAAAGTTATGGATCCAATTGAATTGAACGCCACGGAGGTGGTAGATCCTCAAAAGAAGAACATGAACAGTGCGTGGATGCGCTTGAGATGACAACTGCTAGGTTATGATATGCCGCGGATAGTCTCGACGAAAGAGTCGAGGTGGCACAGAGGAAAATTCGTGAATTAAACATCCAACTGGATGAAAGCCGAATGGCTTGCACAACAATGAATGAAGCTGTTGCTATCCTACCTGATTTGCAGGAGGTAATGGAAACGTTGAGAGCTCAACTACTAGTTCTTCAACGTGCGGTTGGCAATGGGCAAGCCCCTGTGCGAGAGCATGTTCCTAGGCCCAGAATTCCTGAACCATGTACCTACGGAGGAGTACGCGATGAAAAGAAGTCGAGAACTTCTTGTTCGATATGGAACAATACTTTCTTGCAGCTTCGATCGAATATGAAGCAAGAAATGTGACAACAGCTACCATGTATCTTGGTGGAGATGCAAAACTATGGTGGCGGACAAAGTATACTGATATACAAGTCGACATGGTCCAAATAGATTATTGGGATCTCTTCAAAGAAGCGATTAGATCTCAGTTCTTCCCAGAAAATGTGGAATATCAGGCACGACGTGCACTATGGGAACTGAAACATACAAACTCCATCATGGAGTATGTGAAAGCTTTTTCAGGGCATATGCTGAATATTCAAGATATGTCGAATAAGAACAACTATTCACATTCATAGAAGGGTTGAAACGGTGGACACACACGGACTTCAGAGACAGAAGGTCACTAATTTGAGTGCGGACATTGGAGCTGCTGAATGCTTAAGTGACTATCAGATCGAGTCGATAAAAGATCGACCTTCGAGGAATAGTCAAACTATTGGAGGCAGAAACAAACTTTATAGACCCAGCTTGAACTCAAATGGGGGGAGAGCGTTACTCTAATAACAATGGAGGAGCCTATCAAAGCACCTGTTAGAGTAACTTTCAAGGGAATTATCAAAACAGCCATCAAAGGAACTATAACGGCATCAACAGTAATAGTTGGAAAAATGGAAAAGCAACGGAGGGCCGATCTGATGCCACTCCTAAATTGATGTACTTTTTATGTGAAAGATCACATCGGGTGGCTGAGTGTCCTTAGAAATGGATGGTGAATGCATACTGTCAACTAGCAAGCGGCAACATGAATTCAAAGCAAAATGTTCCTCAAACTAGTTGTCACGGCGAGATCGATTCTGAAGAGGATGAGGATGTAGTTGGTGCATTCTCACATCGGTGAAATACACTATCGCACCAGATTACTAAAAAGGAGAATGTTCCTTTAAAAGAGGTAACGACGGAAGAATCGAAGGCTCGTATTTGTAGGGCGAAATGCCTAATTTACATTGATGTGAAGATCAATGGAAAGCTAATTAGGGCTATGATAGATACCGGTACTACCCACAACTCCCTTGCAAGTACCGAAGTAAAATGGATTGGACTTGTTTTGGAAAAAGGTAATGGAAAGGTCAAAGCAATCAACTCCACTACTCAACCAATAGCGGGAGTAGCGAAATCTGTATCAATCAAAGCAGGTCCTTTCGAAGGAAGGACAAATTTGTCGGTAGTTCATATGGATAACTTCAAACTCATTTTGGGATTGGAATTTCTTCGGAGCACTAAGACAGCAGTGTTGCCATATTTCGATTCATTGATGATGATGGGTAGTAAACCGTGCGTTATCACTATCCAACCGGAGAAGATGGGTGAGAAGAGTATCCCGACCATGCAATTTGGTAAGGGTTTCAAAAAAAATGAACCCTCATTTTTGTGTACTTTTCGATTAGAGGAGATTGAGGAGGCAACTGATCCTATTCCAAAGTCGATCAGAAGGCTTATCAAGGAATTTGAGGACATCATGCTGGAAGAGTTGCCACTAAGAAGGGCAATCGATCATGAGATTAAGCTTATTTCAGGTGCCAAACCACCAACCTACAGTATGTCTCAGCCGGAGCTTGAAAAGCTTCGGAAACAATTGGGAGATGTGTTGGAAAGTGGGATTATCGTGCATATGAAATCAACATATGGAGCTCCCATGTCGTTTCAGAAAAAGGTCAATGGTTCTCTCAGAATGTGCTGTGACTATCGAGCATTGAATAAGATCATTGTAAAGAATAGTTATCATAT